TATTGATAAGGTTGATTTTGGGGGGAACCAGAGTACAATTTTATGATTAAAGCAGCTAGAAAATAAAAAAAATATTTTGCGAGTTACTTTTTTATAGATATTTTTATTTCATAAATCTACCTAATTTTGAAGGCGTTGTTTTCCGGAGTATTTTAATCAGATATATCAAAAAAGTGACTTCCGTTGACAAAACTGATGTCTGGATTAATGATTCAGAATTATAATAATATGAAATTAGGTAGGCACTTATAGTTATATTCGAGGAGTTATTATGAATCCATTTGTAATTAGGTAGTTTGGTTAGGTTTTTATGTATTCTTGGTAGCGAATATGAAACCAAAAGTAACGTAAGTGCTTAGCGACAAATTTTAAGTGACTAAAATCCAACGTAATATGACGTTGGTAATTGGTAGAATTACATTCCCTATTAGGTCAGATACCGACGTCGAGGCGACCCGAATCTGTATTCCCCATTTAGGTGCAAATACGGGTCGTCAGGCAGTCGAACCGACGTTGGTACCCGATGTCGGGTTTATTGAACGCGACGTATATCCGACGTTAGATAACGTCCAAATGCTACTTGGGTATTATGTAGATATTCTGCGACTTTTATTTTTAAAATATTCACTTAAATATTTTTTTTCAAACGTCACAAAAGTATTAATTTTTGCGATGTGATTGACAATATAACAATGTCATTTTAACGCTTAGGCGTAAAAGTTAAGCGCTTTTACGTCTACGCTTGGTCCTACGCCTACGTGGGAGACAAAAGCGCGCAATTCGGGCGGTGCGAACGACGCGTATTTATCAAATAACGTTTTTTTACGAAGCTGTACTAGGTAGGAGAGTCGCGCGACTGAAGCGGCATCGCAAGCAATTTAAGTATGTTGCGCTAGTCGCGCTCATCGCCCTCTGTTGTCGCACGCGTCGCTTGCTCGCTTTTGTCTCCCACGCTCCCACGTAGGATGAAGCCTAAGGATAAAAATAGGAAAATATGTTATTAAATCTCGCAACAAAAAATATCATTTACTCCCAATAAAACAATATACTATTATCTCTTTCAAGTATAGTTAACATGACTTTTTACTTTTTACTGCTTAGTTAGCATGACTATTTTGAGCATCGATTTTGAAAAAAAATAGAAGAAATCGATTTATTTTAAAATGCCAGAAATTATTTCATTATTTATCTAAAAAATAATTAGAAAATAACAATCTCATTGATAACATATTTAAAAAATATTATTCTTTGAAAAAATATCATTTTAAAATATAATTAAAAATATGGACACATATTTATATCTCTGGTGTAAACAGGATTTCATTCATGAGACATTTACAATGTGATTTAATCGGTTTAATTATATTTTAAAAAGTCTATTGCCTTATTAATGTACCTATAAAAGAAAACAAGGACTTACGTTATTATCATTATTATCTTTCCTTTTTTACACACACCTAAATAAATGATTTTTATAAGTGTGTCAGTTCCAAAATAAAGTGTGTCAGTATGAATCACAGTAGAAATTATTTAAAATTTAACAAACGAATAACTTTATTAGTTACTTACTCTTAATTAATAAATATTAAAATATAAATATATGATACCTACAAAAGATAACACTTTGGTTAACACTGAAAAATCTTAAAAACTGGCCTTCAATAACTTAACGAACGACGCTCTAAAATGAATAAGTATATATTATCAACAAATATTGACATCTACCGGCTGCGTCCCGAAAGTGGCTCACCCCTATAAATTTTTTATTTTTTTAGATAAAAAAACGAGATTTGCTATATTAGTGTATGACATAAACTAGGAGTGATTGACGTATTCAGTTGTTTTTGGTCACTTCCTGTTTTACTGTAAATGACTACAACTATTGATTTTTAAATGACACTCTCGGATTTTTTTTTACTTTATTCGATAGAAAATTGCACTCCGAATAAAATGACATATTATATGTCAACTTTTGACATTCTCGTATATGGTTTATTTGAAATTGTAACATGCAGTTCATAACAACAATCTGACTCGAAATACCAAGTGTGTGGTATCAAATTATTCGTAAAAAATTCTTTTTACAAATAATATGCGTAAGATTTGTTGTTCAGTTTGATAAAAGTGAGATATGATTAAAAATACGATTTGGGCACCTTTTAACCGGCCAGAACAAGACACGAAAAACATTAGACGACCAAATCTATTTTTCCAAGGCTGCTTGATTAAAAATTACTGTTTTTTTTAACCTAGATTGAAATTTAAAATACGATTTTTTAAAGCGAAAATGTCAAAAGTTGACATATGACATGTCATTCTATTCAGAGGGTCATCTCATCAAATAAAGTAGAAATATACCGAGGGTCCCATTTAAAAATCAAAAGTTAGAGTCATTTCCGGTGAAACAGGAAGTGACTATAAACAATTAAATACGTCAATCAATCTGTTTTTTTTATTTTATCTGAAAAAATAAAAATGTTATAAGCCACTTTTGAGACGCACTGGTATATTTGACTTTTATAATTAAATAAAAACAGGGCAACAAATCTAGGTGTGTCAATATAGAATAATATAGATCAAGTTAATAATTTCACAATTTATATCAACAATCAGAGAAAAGTATGAGTAATTTTATTTAGACTTTTGTTACTGATAATTTTTTTTTATTTTATATTAGATTTACTTTGTCTTATTTAAATTTTGTCATTTATCTGAAAATATTTTTACAATCTTGTGTAGAAAACCGCAAAATTTCTGAAAAAAGTACCTGAATAGCACCTGTAAAATAATATTATTGAACCAAAAATACGTTAACATTCCGTTTTTTTTCTCTAGATACATGACGAAAGTTTCGCAAGAATAATATTTATGATAAATAGTCCTTAAAAGTACATATTGTGTTTATTGCAATACTTATTTACAGTTATCATGTTAATTATAAGCTATTTATAAATAATTACAAATAACTAATGTATATGTTGAATTAATTAACAGTAATATACATATCTGCGAAAACAAAAAAATGATTACGACGTACCATTGGTTAATTGAAAAAGAAAAAGAGAATGTTTTAAGTTTTACAGAATGTTGTTATAGAAAGTATATTCACTTATACATTCTATAATATAGTTATCGACATGTAATGCTTCTTTAGATTATAATATAGACATTCGACATTCAAAAATTGACAGAATTACAATTTCTTGTGAATTAAAACGACTCTGTCATGGATCCTCTTGTTGGAGAGACTTTATTTAAGTTGTAACATACACAGAATTCACTTTCATGTGCATAAATAAAAAGGAAAAATACAAAGCAAATCAACAAATGACGACATAAATTGATAGATTGTAAAAGGAAACGTTAAAATTGTAACATTATTTTAAAAAATATTTATTGGAATTATCTGACTTCTGCTATTCGTTGAAATAATCCATTTATCTAGGTGATTTCTCGGGTGATTTATATTTGTTATTTTCAGATTTTGCGTTATAGTTTTACAGAGACAAGTAAACTGAATGATCTAATGGTATTAATACAATAAAGCTTTACAGGTACATATTTTTGAGTTTGTTTTAATAATGGAACGGAAAATATCAAGAATTGAATATCGCATTTTACTTCTTATATTACTTCTTTCATTCTACAAGAATTTTTGACTAAGGGACTATTATGTGAATGATTCTTTGGTACAGATCTGTACAGTCAAAAAAATCAAAAATCACTCTCTTCATTCGGTTGTTATATATTTCATTCTCGGAGACTGCCACGACTTTAAGGATTTTTTACCTAAGGATACAAAGGATTTTTTACCTATAGGTATATTTTTTGAAGAAAATAAGACATTTTACATTACTTATCCTTCTTTCACTCATAACAACGAAGACCGTTATTCAACTGATTTCCTGGAGTTTCTTTTTGGACCTAACCAAACCAAAACAAACAAAAAACATTTGTTTGAAAAAATTTTAATAAGTTATTTTAATCTTTCATTATCGTAAAATACATTTCTCAGTTTTAATTATTTATGTATCGGTTGATGATGCTAACAAGTAGTGATGGGCATTGGGCAAATGACGACTCGAAATGGGCAAGGAAGACTCTTACGATTCGTTCATTTGAACAAACTACACATTTTGCAAATGACAGTATAAATATCTATTTTTTTGTAAGTAAAATTCACATCGCTTGCTTTTAAAAAAATCAATAGCAACCAAAGCCACCTAGTGATATTAAAAAATAATATTATCAAGTAATGATAGTTGAAAAAATTGCAAATTGTTGGTGGCAAGTTCATTTCGCTCTTAAAAATTAACCAAGGCATGTGTTGACATGAGTCAAATAAGAAAATGCTCAGGAGACATGGTTCTGATCGAAAAATAATGTTTTAGGAAAAATAATTCAGGAAATTATTACACAGGGTGTTTTAAAGTTAAGGTAAAAAACAACCCTTCAATTAACCCTGTATAGGCATGTGTTGACATGAGTCAAATAAGAAAATGCTCAGGAGACATGGTTCTGATCGAAAAATAATGTTTTAGAAAAAGGAACTCACGAAATTATTGCTCAGGGTGTTTTAAATTTAAGGTAAAAAACAACCATTCAATTAACCCTGTATAGTCAGCCAAATACTAAAGTTTATGAAAAAAACTGAGTTTATGAAGTAAAGTTGATAGATTTATATTCAGTTTGCTAAAAAAAATCATGAAAATAGTGTTAAAAACAATATTAACACTTTAAAATAGACGAAAAAATGCCCCGTTGCGCTTTTTTTGCATCTGAGGTACAAAGCTTTTCGATTTTGGCGTTCTTCAATTTCTCAGAAAAGTCCAAACCAAAGAAAACATTGAAATTAAAATTGGCGTAATTGTAGTAACTAGATATTTACCTATGTATGTATATGACATTAATAACAAGTTCCTCTTTACGCAGAATGGAAACCATAAAAAAATATATATACCTAATTCCACCTTATTTGAACATATTTAATTAATACGCACCGTTATACAAATATTCCTTTCTCTCGCATTCGAATCCACAAACTGAAAAATTCCAAACAAGTCAGGTCCGGCTTGAAATAATCCAAAACGCACAGCCGATCTCGAAAAAACGCACGAAACGAATCAACAAATCGCACCGGCTTCTCGCCAAGGAAAATAGTCCGAGTCGGTCGCCTTTTAATAATAATGGAAAAAAGATGTTAAAAGTCGTCAAGGACGCACGCCTGCGATCGGATCGAGAAACGCGCACTCCAACTGGAAGCAAAGCGGGCCGAACCGACCCGTTGCCGCTGTGCCTAGCGCTTACGCTTCTCCTAATCGCACGGTGAACCGTTGCCTGGCGTGTGCGCGCGCGAGAACAAGCTACGCTCCGCGCCCGACCAAAGCAAAACAAATACTGTGAAAATATTGTTCGTTTTTAAGTTAACTGACCTGTCGCCGTCGCAGGAGACGTCGCGCGCGACGCAGGCGGCGTCGATTTAACATAACGGCGTATATCTCCGAAGCGATAAGGAGAGGGCTGTGGGGAGGCCATCGTTTTTTTCGGTGTTCCGAATAGCGTAGGTCGGAATTAGGCGACCTGCGATGCATAAGCGACTTTTAGTCGGTATTAGATAGATTGCTAGACAGATGAAAATACTGAATTTGTAAGAAAAATATCACTTAAGTCGGGACTCTATTAGGCTACACGCTACGCTATCCCACGTGAACTCACGTGTTGCGACGTGGGAAAGGGTGTACACATGAGACCTGGGACAGACGATACACGTGTGATAGCGTGGGATGGCGAGGAGTGGCGTGTTGCCTAGTGTGTATGCAATACATGTAATTAAATGGAGAAACATAAGCACAGATCTTCATGACGTGGGGTGGTATGGCGTGGCGTGTTGGCTAATGGGATCCCGGCATCACGCTTCGTCCTACGTGGACGACAAAAGCGCGCGATACAACCGCCCCACGATACAACCGAGGCGCGACGCGATATTATCAAAAGACGTTTCCTTATGAACAATGAATACTTCCTAATGAAACTGATGAGCTCTGTTATCTATCCTTAGCGTACGGCCACAGTACGCCGGCTTCCCTCTTCTCGCTTTATCGCGGCAGACTAGCGGTGAAAAATAGAGGAACTGCATGAAAGTGTCCTGCATCGCTGACGCAGGACGAAGTCATAAGAAAACATAACGTCGCGTCGGTCGTATCGCCCATATCGTACGCTTTTCTCGCCCACGTAGGACGAAGCGTTAAGCCGGGACCCCATTAGGCCATACGCCACGCTATTCCATGTGGGTTCACGTGAGCCCACTTGTTGCGACGCCGACGCGACGTGGGAAAGAGTGTACATCTGGAGATGGGGCTGACGAATCGCCCATCACACGTGTGATAGCGTGGAATGGTGTGGGATGGCGTGGGGTGGCGTGGAGTGGCGTGTTGCCTAGTGTGTATAAAAAATGTCTATACCTATGTGGCGGAATCATCTCTTCAAAAAAATTCTATATGGGTATTTCGCCACTACAAGAAAATCTACCAAATAAAATATTTTTTTTTGTAAACACTTCTGCGTTAATCTAAACGTAAACTACTTCTCAGAAGTTAGGTTTACAGATAAACAAATTTGCCTAACGAATAAAAAAGTGCTTAACGTTTCGGAAAGCTTATCTCTTTCCGTCGTCTGTCGGAAGCAAAAAAAATACAAAGAATAAAAAAAAAACTATATAAAATATTTAAATTCAACTATTCGAGAACACTTTAGTTTTTAAAGCAGATACGTCTACAAAAACCGTTAAATAAACTTTCCGAAACGTTAAGCATTTTTTTGTTCGTTAGGCAAATTTTTATATCTGTAAAGCTAACTTCTGACAAGTAGTTTCCGTTTGGATGAACGCCCCCCCCCCCACAAGTGTTTACAAAAAATAACTTATTTTATTTTGTAGATTTTCTTGCAGTGGCGAAATACCCATATAGGACTTTCTAGTGTATGGAAACAAATACGCACAGATCTTCATGACGTGGCGTGTTGGGTAGTGGGTTCCCGGCATTAACATTTTACACTTGTTTGTTTTATTAGCATCGAAGTATATGACTTTAAAAAGTTAATTAATGTTTTTAATGATGTATTAAATGATTTCAAAGACACTAGAATGAAAAATGGAAAAATAGGAATAATGAAAAAAAGTCGTAATATAATTTCGTACAAAATTGCTTTTTCAAACTCTGTCGGTGATGCCATACAATAGCAATAAATATAGCTAAACGAACACACTCTGGATATTTCACTTACAGAGGAAATTTTAGTTTAATGCGGATGGTTGGCTATTGAAAGCCTAATTACAAAATGATAGTGACGTTGAAGAATAGGGTACAAAATAACTTTTCAAACATCTCGGAACATATTTAAATTTCCATCATTGTAATAGGATGCAAAATAATGTAACATTATTTACTGAGATTGATGTTTTGAGGCGTATCAATTTCATAACATTGTATAATAGTATAAGTTAATATTCAAAACTAGAGCTGACTACCGATTTAATTATCGACCTTCTATAGCCCGAACAGTCGTGGTGAATGTTTTTGAGTACTTACAACAAGATTGGGGGTATTTGAAAAATTGTTAAAATTAGCTGATAAAATTGTCTATTATATTATTACAGTGGTGTTTTACTATCTATATTATTTTTGAATGCGTCATACAAATTTGCAATTTCTAAATAACTGAAAAAATATCTATTGGACTATTATTATCCTGATGAAAACTGAGACAGAAAATCATATATTTACAGGGTGGTCCGAATTGTATTTGAGAAACTTCGGCAGCATATATTCAGTAGATAAATAAAAAAGTTTGTAGAAATGTTCATATGTCATAAAATGCTTAGTTTCGGAGATACAGGGTGTGGAATTTTCATTTTTGTTTCGATTTTTCCAAATCATTTCTGAACTATCGTCGATATTTTGGATTAATTCGTGTCTGGGAGTTTTTTGACATGAGAAATTTGATTTTGATGTCAATAGTTCTCCTACTTATAGAGGGCGCCACCTACATATTTTTTAACCGGTTTGAAGAGTAATAACTTTTCGTCGGAACTGTTTTATCATATTTTTTTCGAAGAAAAATTTAAAAAAATAATGAGTTCTCAAATTTATATAGTCATTAACATTATTTCGGTCATATAACTATCCATTCAACATATTTTTTTTGTCAGTAATGACATGTATAGACTATTTCGATTCTAAATATCTTGAGAACGGTAGCCCGTAGCGATTTTTACCAAGAGATATTTTTTACGGTAGTTTTATACAGTCATGGACGAAAAGTCTTCTTTAAAACAGTTAAAACAGATGTAGGTGGAGCCCCCTAGAAGTAGGTAGGTCATATTGACATCGAAATCAAATTTCTCATGTCAAAAAGCCACCAGACACCAATTTTTATTCAAATATCGACTAGTGCGGAAATTATTTGGAAAACACCGAAATAAAAATGAAACATCTCCGAAACAAAGCATTTTATATCATGGAACACAACTTATTGTAGTTTATTTTTATACCTAATAAGAATATTTTGATAAGTTCAGTGGACTCTACTATCTTTGATATGACAGAGCATCTCGTCAGGAAACATAAACGTTAAAAATATATAATGATGTGTCGAAAACCAGAAAAGGTACTCTCTGTTTACGTAACTATACAAAAGACCAAAGTTTACAGAATATATACTATTCTCTATTTATTCTGTAAACTTTGGTATAACCGAAATGGGCCCCAACTCGACTGTCGTATTTTTTTACCTGCTTGGGATTCCATGCAATTATTGTTCCGTTGATAGGTATCAAAAGAAATTTTAAAATAAAGGTGGTCTAAAACTATTTTATGTTACGAGAATCCTGTTGCATTTCAAACGTTATACGTATAATATTTCTCAGTAACTAGAAGTCAACATATATATTGTCTTTAAGATATTTAAGGTCTTTAAGGTTTCGTACCTCAAAATGAAAAACGGAATCCTTATAGACTTTGTTCTCTGTCCTCTGTCCGTTCGTCTGTTTATCTCGGGAACAGTCCCTGGAAGTTGTGAGAAAATAAAATTTCCAAGTTAACCTGCTGTTGCTGACGACCTTGAAAGAAAACTCGAAATTTGGCACCCATATACGAACATAAACATTTCCAATGTTAAAAAGATACGGCCGTTTATGACGCAAAGAAGACATATATTTCGACACTCTCAAAGGAATCAAAATTTATAGGGTATTTTTCGTTGACCTAGAACTATGAAATTTGGCCATCCATATGTATATTTTTCAGAAAGACTAGGCATATTATAAAACGGCTGGCCTTTTAAACAAAAGAAGGAAACTTTATACAGAGCCTATCTGTTTTACAGTCGCTTTGCAAAATGCCTAATGAGAATTAGGCAAATTAAACAATGATGATATTTGCTGTACGTTCCTGCAAAAAGGTCGCTTGTTTTCAGACAATCTTCAAAATCCTTAATGAACACTAGTCATATTGCACAAAACATTTTACGCGGTGTTGGTATAACTAATCTAAATTTAAACAACGCCATTTCTTGAACTTCTCTTTCAAAATTAGAAAATAATGATACAAAATAATGGTAATTCTGTTAATGAGAGTATGGTTAAGGACGATTGTTATAAAGATCTAAATTAATTTTATTCTAAAAGTTCCACAAAGCAGCAGCCCTAGACACAGGATCGAATTCTAGAGTACAATACAGGCAGTCCTCGATTTACGTCGTTTCGTGTTACGTCGTTTCGACTTACGTCGAACAAATTTTTGTCACTATTCCTCAAAGTTACGTCCCACTGTTTCGAGTTACGTCATTTTTGGAAAAGAACGATCCAAATTTTAAAAGAAGTTTGGACATAAACAATAAAATTTTAGTAACATACAAGCAGGGTTGACAAATCCTCATAATGAAAAAGCGGGACAGTGTTGATCATTATTTAATTAGCAACTATTACGACTTTTGACGACACCCACAATAAAAGTTCCAACCAAAAAAATAAATATATAATTTCTAAATATGTTTACTTTACTCTCTGGTATTTCTGTAGTTGTCATATTAGTATAGGTATTATATTTACTATTATGGATAGTTAAAAAAAAAATTTGATTAGATAATTAAAAAGCCGGGACTGTAAAAATACTCGCCCTAATTTGTTTTTCATAAAAAAATACTTTTTTATATTTTTGTTTGATTTTTCGTTTCTTTTTGTTTCTTGTATTATTAATAAGTTTAACTACATACACAATACACTGTTTCTCATACCTCAATTATTTAAAAATACAATAATATTGATATACAGGGTGTTTCAAAACAAATGCGAAAAACTTCAGGGGGTGATTCCTTGTTCAAAATAAAGGGTAGTTTGGTTCATAAACGTTGGGTCAAAAGTCAACCATTAGGGAGATATCGCGGTTCAAAGATGGCGGAAAAATAATGTTCTTATTTTTTATCTTGAAAACGAAAAGAGATAGACTAATGAAATTTTATGGAAGCATTACTGTTATGAAAACACACTTTCTGGTAATTTTTTCACTTTTTTAAAATGAGTGGAAGGGGTTGAAATAAACTACCCCTATCATTCTTGTTAACGAAATTTAAAGAAAAATCTTATCAAACACATGCAAATGCTAATAATAATAATTTGGATAGTTTAGTTTGTTTAGAAACTTTTTTATCTCTTGTGTTCTTTTGATAAAACTCAATGATTTGAAATTAAAAAATAAAATGTAAAGCATTACATGTCAGGACAAAGAACATTTTTAGATTAAGAATCTAGTGATAATAACGATAATAATAATCATCTAGATAATAACGTATTGCAGTAGAGTAATGTCAAATAAAATAATATTAGGAACATCCTAAAAAGTAATAGCGGCCGACTAGATTTTTTCCTAAAAAAAATTACAGCTGCCCACTAGATTCTTTATCTAAAAATGTTTTTTGTCCTGACATGTAATGCTTTACATTTTATTTTTTAATTTCAAATCATTGAGTTTTATCAAAAGAACACAAGAGATAAAAAAGTTTCTAAATAAACTAAACTATCCAAATTATTATTTGATAAGATTTTTCTTTAAATTTCGTTAACAAGAATGATAGGGGTAGTTTATTTCAACCCCTTCCACTCATTTTAAAAAAGTGAAAAAATTACCAGAAAGTGTGTTTTCATAACAGTAATGCTTCCATAAAATTTCATTAGTCTATCTCTTTTCGTTTTCAAGATAAAAAATAAAAACATTATTTTTCCGCCATCTTTGTACCGCGATATCTCCCTAATGGTTGACTTTTGACCCAACGTTTATAAAGCAAACTACCCTTTATTTTGAACAAGGAATCACCCCCTGAAGTTTTTCGCATTTGTTTTGAAACACCCTGTATACAAACGCACATTTCTTTGTTTCATTGTATTTTTATCTTACAAAAGTACCTAACTTCTCCATTTTCTATAGGATCTTATGACAAAATAAGATTCGACTTAAGTCGTTTCGATTTAAGGCGCTATTTTGAAGAACCTTACCTGCCGTAAGTACGAGGACTGCCTGTAATTAAATGAGATGTTGTAACCGACCATCGCTACAATATCGAAACTGGCGATAGTGCCCATCCCTAACGGATGACAGAAGGGATTTGACATTAGACATTATTATACGTTTTCCCACAAAAATCTAATTTTCTTACTTTACTTTGTTTAAATCAGTTAAATAAAAGTCAGGTTTAATTAACAAGTAAAACAAGTGCTTTATTTGTTTAATGGTCGAACTACAAACCTTAGAGGTAAAAATCAACAAAAAGAATCTACGACCGAAGCTCAGTAAATCCTTTACACCTCAGAGTTTCCCGTCATAGTGGCGCATCCAACGTGTAGCCTCAAGAAAATTGTAGTTGAGATCAAACAGAGAACAATAAGAAGAAAGCATTTCGTGAAAACTTCAAGTAAGAAGATTTTTTTTAAGCATTAAGTGAATTTCAATTGATCGAGCATCCACTTCATTTAATATTTCGTCTCTTAACGACAAAACATGAATCAAGATAACGTAGAAATTGGTATTCAACAAATCGTTATGACCCCAGAGATGTTACAGCAACTTATACAAGGAATGACCTTGAGTCCGAACGTTAATGTCCAAAACCTTGAAAGAGGAAATTTTGCCAAATGTAGTGCACGTTATAACGGTGAACAAGGCACCGACGTTAATGCTTTTATCGATTCTATTCTTGTATACAAAGACTGCGTAAACATATCAGAAGAAAATGCTCTTAAGGGTTTACCAATGTTACTGGAACATAAAGCTGGAATTTGGTGGCAGGGTGTTAAAGAAAGTATCAGTTTTTTTGATGCAGCGATTGAAGCTTTAAGATGTGCTTTTGGACATGAAATACCTCCATACCAAATATATAGAGAATTGTTTTCCAACGAACAAAAAGAATATGAGACCTTTTTTACGTAAAAAACTTCGTAGATGTATAATTTTTTACCTAATATGTAGTTTTATACAGGTAGGGACGAAAAGTTATTACTCTTCAAACCAGTTAAAAATATGTAGGTTGCGTCCTCTACAAATAGGAGTTATAATAATAATAATAATAATAGCTCCCGTATATAGCGTTTAACGCCTTGGGAGTAGCAAGGTACAGCTTGCCATACTAGAGCCTTTCGGTATACAAGGAAGGTAATGTGGCTAGCACTACGCTTCAACCGCCTATTATTACCTCAGGATTGTGAATCCCAAGTACTTTTAAGGCTGAGTCGACCTAGGTACTCGAACTATTTTTATTTTAATAAAAATAGTCGGCTGATGAAATGCCGGGTGTGGGATTCGAACCCACTACCTTCAGATTGGTAGACGAGAGCCTGTACCTCTACGCCACCGGGCACCTCAAATAGGAGTTATATTGACATCAAAATCAAATTTGTCACGTCAAAAAACTCCAAGACACCAATTTTCATCCAAATATTGACGTTACCTACTTAAAATTATTTGGAAAAAACCGAAACAAAAATGAAACTTCTACACTCTGTATCTCCGAAACTAAGCATTTTAGGACATACATTTTTACAAGTTACTGGAATACAGTTTGGACCACACTGTATAAAATATCCTCATTGTTTAATATATGCCTAATTCTGACTAGGGTTTCTGCAAAGCGACTGAAAATAGATAGGCTTTTTGAAAAAATGCTTTCTTTTGTTTAAAAGCCGGTGTTATAATTTGTCTAGTTTTTTTTCAGAAAGCCTGCTTATTCTATACACCTACGACATATGTATAACTTTTATTCAATAGTTTTGGTAAATACTTTTAGTATTTTAAAAATATATGAGTTGCATTAAGACATACAAATTAAAAAAAAAATCCATTAATGTATCTATTAGATAACAAATTAGATAAGGATTATTTAGAATTATCTATTCAAAAAGATTAAATAAGTTAACCGTAAACATAAAATGTTCCCGGTGGTAATTCAATAGTTCACTGAAAAACATCTGGTATTTAAACAGACAAAATTGTATAATTAAAGCTCACTTCAATTTGCATTAGTCATCAGGGAGACCATTTAGTAGCTTGTGCCAGCCTAATTGACTTAGAGACTAACTCTCTTTGGGCCAGGTAAAAATTCTTCAATCGTCTGCTTCCCTTGTTATAGTTTGTCGAAAGTATTTTAAATTCATAGCAATTCACAATTTTTAAAAGAATATATAAAATAAATAGTAAATTTTTAAACAGGCCCATTTTTTCATGTTCTTTTTTAATTCTCTCTGAAACGGTATAGAAATTTGGAAAAGTATAACCGGGATTAACCATTTTAGAACAAGCAAAAGTTTTTATAAAGAATGTATTTTTTTTCAAAATGACAATAATAAAAAAAAATCACTTTTAAAGACAATCCGGGGACATACTGTATAGTAAAGTCTATTATCTCATTTGTTCCGAGGTTTACAAAAAAATGTTATATACAAAAATTATAGGGAAGGTTGAGATACATATTTTAAAATTATTATAGAGTATACAGGGCGCTTCAAAAATGTGTGGCGGATATAACATATATTTTTTAAAACACCCTATTTTTTATTTAGTTTTTAGATATTGCACATAATTCTATAACTTTTTTATATATAATGTTATGTTATATACCTAAAATTAATAGTTTTTGCAATATTTGAATTTGTGTAAACAAATGTTAGATTTCAGTGTGGGAAAAAATAGTCAGTGGTACCATTGTTTCTGAAGTTGGACTACTAAAATTTGGTATGAGAGTTTTATAGAGATGAGGAAAAAGATACATGTAAAGATACTTTAGTTAGAACTCCCCAAGAGAAAATCCAAGTGTGATCTTTCATAATATAGAAATACTTCAAGAACTTCACGATTGAGATTTTAATTTAATTGAGTAAAGTAAATTAATATAAACTGATAGTAATAATTGTAATTAATTAGTAAACTACTTGTTAATGATTAATAATAATAAATGTTTTTATTTCATCATGGCAACTATGATGTTTTAGCATAAATGAATTAAAAAAAGACTAAAATTTTAAAAATTCAAAAGTGGCAAACTATTAAAAATAGGTATACATATTATATGTATAATAATAAAATAGGTATACATATTATATACCATATAAAAGTTGAAGAGTTTGGTAAAATCTATCAGAAAAATTTATAATACATAGGGTGTACCATTTAAAAAATATGAAATTTCTTAACTTTAAGTAGTTTAAATTCATAAATATATTTTCAACACCCTGTAGCATCTAACTAAAATATCTTTACATACGTCTTTTTCTATATTTTTATACAATTCTCCTGCCAAATTTGAATTGTCCAACTTCAGAAACAATGGCATCAATGAAAATTTTTTACCACACTGCAATCTAACATTTGTTTAAACAAATTTAAATATTACAAAAACTATTAATTTTAGGTATATAACATTATACAGGGTGGTCCGAACTGCATTCCGGAAACTTTGGCAGCATATTCTGTAGATAAAAATAAGTAAAAAGTTCGTATAAATGTATATCCTAAAATGCTTACTTTCAGAGATAAAAGTGTATAGGTGTAGAAATTTCATTTTTATTTCGATTTTTTCTAAATAATTTCTGAAGTAACGTCAATATTTGGATGAACGTTGGTGTCTGGGAGTTTTTTGACATGAGAAATTTGATTTTGGTGTCAATATGACTCCTACTAGTAGAGGGCGCCACCTACATGTGTTTTAACTGTTTTTAAGCGTAATAACTTTTTGTCAGTACCTGTATAAAACTACCGAGCGAAAAAATATACATCTCTGTGACTTTTTACGTAAAAAATATCTCTTTGTAAAAATCGCTACGAGCAACCGTTCTTAAGATATTTAGAGTGGAAATAGACAATACATGTAATTATTGACGAAAAATAAACACGTTGAGTAGATAGTTATTTCACTGAAATAATAAATTTGGAAAATTTTTATTTTTTAAATTAATTATAAATTTTTCTGCACAAAATGATGATAAAAGAGTTTCTGTTGAACATTTCGCACAAAAACATTTCAGATTTATGATTTCAGTCTAATAACTGTTTAGCAACATGTTTAATTTATGTCAATGATGATAGGTATTGATAATTTCGATTCCAAATATCTCGAGAACCATTACTCGTAGCGATTTTTATCAAGAGACCTTTTTCACGTTTAAAACGTCATAAAAGTATATTTTTTTACTCAGTAGTTTTATACAGGCACGGACGAAAAGTTATTACTCTTCAAACTAGTTAAAAATATGTAGGTGGCGCCCTCTACTAGTAGGAGTCATATTGACACCAAAATCAAATTTCTCATGTCAAAAAACTCCCAGACACCAATTTTCATCCAAATATTGACGTTACTTCAGAAATTATTTAGAAAAAATCGAAATAAAAATGAAATTTCTACACCCTCTATCTCTGAAAGTAAGCATTTTAGGACATATTATTTATTTATACGAACTTTTTTACTTATTTTTATCTGCAGAATATGCTGCCGAAGTTTCCGGAATACAGTTCGGACCACCCTGTATAGTATAAGAAAGTTCCAAAAATAAAAAAAATAGGGTGTTGCATTTAAAAAAAAATATATTATATTCGCCACACTGTTCTGAAGCACCCTGTATGCTCTATACTAATTTTAAAATGTGTATCATAATTCCCCATAACTTTTATAATTAATATACATATATTTTTTTGTAAATCTGGAAACAAATGCGATAATGGACTTATCGTTGACTCACCCTATATAGGTACTTGATAACAAGCCAAGTATATTTTTAATCTTCTAGATAATTAGAGCATATAGAAATTAATATTAAACAGACCACGGAGTTTATTTGATTCGATTATAAAAGGTGTCAGACTAATAGCGGGAAATTTAAATTTTAAATTGGCTAGAAATCTCTCATACCTGTTTAGTAATCAGTAGTACGGAATGGAATAATTTTATTAATGTAATATGCATGTACAGCATACGAAATAAGTGCGGATTAATGAAATGGCGAATAATTAAAAATTTAAAGTTGTCAGTTGCCAAGGAAACTGTATTTCGCTAAATTATTATTTCCCTCATGAGTTTTTAGACGAAAAAAACTACATTTCTCATAATCTTTTGAATTAATATTTATTTACGTTTAGAGATTGATAATATGTCGTTTTGTGAATCATATTACAAAACCTTTAGTATTATTTTTATAAAATATCTATTTATAAGAAGAAAGTATATACAGGGTGGTCCGAACTGTATTCCGGAAACTTCGGCAGTATTATCTGACAAACGAATCTAAAACAGCGGAAGGAATTCGGGCAAAAAAGTCGATGTTGTCACGTTTAATTATAGAAAAGCAAAGTTGCTCGATATTACCTATAAATTGAATAAATTTTAGTTCATTTCAGCATACATAATTATATATGCTAATATGTTGACGTAGTTCTTATTGTAATAATGTATATTTATCTAATTAACAGTTTTCGTTCATTCTGCCTATTATAAAAGGTCAAGTATTTCCTTAAGATAATGTCCGCTTAGGGTAAGCTGGCAACGCTGACAAAATTCATCATGGCATCCCGGTTTCAACCAGTCTGATTGGTCGAGATTCCCGCACGTCTTGCCGCCATTACCCCCAACTTTATGCCCCTCTCTAGCTATAGTAGAAACAGTCACTACTATTGAAAAATCCAGTGGCGATGTTATTGTATTGTGTTTTATATCTTTAACTTGATTTGTGTTTATTGTAATTAGTACACGCGTTTTAACAAATATTACTATATTTAGCAAATGACTAAACAAAATGTAGGTACATTTAAACTAAAATAATATTATAAACTTTACTGGAAAATATTATAAAAATTCCTGATATATTTTTATGAAACACCGCACGCTCGTGGATATTTTATGAATGAAATCGGTCATGATTTTAGAAAATTACAGCCCCTCACCGTTG